CATCTCCCATGGTGACATCATCTCCCACGGTGACATCGCCTCCCACGGTGGCATCTCCCACGATGACTCTTCCTGTGGTGGCTTCTGCCACGGCGGCGTCTCCTGCGGTGACATCCCCTGTGGTGGCATCCCCCGTACTGGCGACGTCCCCCGTGACGTCATCTCCCGCGGTGGTGGCACCTCCCGTGGTGGCGCCTCCCACAGGGATGACATTTTCTACGGGGGTGGCACCTCCCACAACGGCGTCTTCCACGGTGGTGGCATCTCCCGTGGCGATGGCATCTCCCAGAAGAGTGACAGCTCCTACAGTGGTGGCATCTCCCATGATGACGTCTCCCACAGTGGTGGCATCTCCCACGGTCGTGGCATCTCCCATAGTGACAGCATCTCCCATAGTGGTGGCATCTCCCATGACAACGTCTCCAACAGTGGTGGCATCTCCCATGACGTCTCCCACAGTGGTGGCATCTCCCATGGCAGCGTCTCCCACACGGGTGGCATCTCCCAGGATGACATCTCCCTCGGTGGTGGCATCTCCTGCGTTGGTGGCATCTCCCACAGTGGTGGCATCTCCCATCACAATGTCTCCCATGGTGGTGGCATCTCCCATAGTGACAGCATCTCCCACGGTGGTGGCATCTCCCCTGGTGGTGGCATCTCCCCTGGTGGTGGCACCTCCCATGACAGCGTCTCCCACGGTGGTGGCATCTCCCGTAGTGACGGCGTCTCCCACAGTAGTGGCATCTCCCAAAACAGCGTCTCCAACCGTGGTGGCATCTCCCAGGATGACATCTCCCACGGCGGTGGCATCTCCTGCGTTGGTGGCGTCTCCCACAGTGGTGGCATCTTCCATGACAGCGTCTCCCACGGTGGTGGCATCTCCCACGGTGGTGGCACGGCCCTTAATGCCATCTCCCAGGCTGGTGGCATCCCCCACACCGGCAGCAGATCCCATGGTGGTGGCATCTCCCCGAAAAGTGACATCGACCACAACGGTGGCGTCTCCCACGGTGGCGGCATCTCCCATGGTGGTGGCATCTCCCACGACAGTGTCATCTCCCGTGACAGTGTCTCCCACGGTGGTGACAACTCCCACGGTGGCACCTCCAACAGCCAGGGAGTCACCCAAACCAGCGGCATCTCCCGCGATGGCACCTCCCACAGTGACACCTGCCATGATGGCGTCTCCTGCGATGGTAGCATCATCTCCCACGGTGGTGGCATCATCTC